CCATTTGAATTAAATACCCTCCTCAGTCCCGCCATGTTCTGGGATGCTGCATGCCACTGCTTAGTGATAAATGTCGTAGTGCCATTACCGCCTCACTCAACTGTTGTGGATGACCGAACGACCATAAGTGTCCCCCCGTTAGGACATGTGGCGTGGGTATTGCGTGGCCCACTGACGTCACACGGCGCCCGTGACGTCAAACGTCCTTGAAAACCGCTTGGGGCCATCAACCTCCCCTGGAGAGACGTGGTGGGAATAAAATTGTCCCTGAATGGATTATATTGGCGGTTTTTTGAAAGGTTGTCAACCAGCGTCTCTGGTGTAGCGGTTAGGCGCTTCGCTGTCGCACGCAGGAGACCTGATTTCCTTTCCCCAGTGAGGAGAAAATTAGTAGATAGAGAACCTTGAAAACTTTTCAAACAACCAAAGTTCAAAAAAAGAAAGATGGGGAAAAAAACCACCACCAAAAAATCATACTTTTTTCCCTTTTTTCACAGAATGGAATCGTTCATCGAGACTTGAAACTGGAGAATATCATCTTGGATGACCAAGGAAATGTCAAGGTATGTTCTTGGAGTTGGAGCGTTAGCCTTATTGCTTGAAAGCGATATCACATCATTATATTTACATGTACACGCATTGAGTTCGAAGTTTTAAGTTTTGGTCGTGTGTCACCAACGCTGTTCTTTTGTTAGTAGAAAAAGGAAAAGATGAAAGACGACAGAAAGAAACATATTCCCCTTTTGTTGATGTCCATGGGGAGATATGGTGTACAATAGTGTGCATACATAATTAATTAAATTTAGAACAACAATACATCAAAGTTACTTGATCCACAATACCGCACAATAAATACAATCAACTAGCTATTGCTGATAGCCACTGTGCAGCGCCCTGTTTTGGAGCTAAAGTTATCGTGTCGTTCTCAAGGACACACCCCAAGTGACCACCCCCCGCAATCGCAATATCAACGACCCCGTAATCGCAATATCATCGATAGACGCTGGACATTATTTTGAACCTGATCTCACAAACCACTCAGTCGTTAGAGCCGCGCTCTGCGTTGACCAGTGAGCAAGAAGAAAAAAGATATGTTAATTGGTCAGTTTTTATAATATAAATGTATGCGCCCACATGTAGGAACACGTGCACACACTCACGTTTTCTACCATGCGCTCAATCCTTCGCACAAATTACTTGTACTCTCCAGCTGGCGGCTGATTGACCCCTTTGGCTGGACTTTCTCTTTTTTTTTTCGCTTTTTTCTGTCTGTCGGTTAAACTTTTTTTGCCTATTCTAATTGAGCATTATTCTGCAGCGATGTGCTCCCTTATCTGAAGCGATTTTAAACTAAAATGTAGAGTGGGTTGTTAACGGGCGCTCTGGTGCGGGTTGGTCCTTCTTTCCTTTCAAGCATCTATTGTCCTT